AAAAAAAAAAAAAAAACAATTTAACAAAATTTTATTACAAAATTTATCAATTTTTTATACAATACTTATCAACTTTTTATATAATAATTTTCTAATCACTTTTTTAAAAAAAGTTTTCCAATAAAATTAGTGCTTTTTGAAAAGTTGTACCCCATGGTCCATATATAGCCATACCGATACGACCACAATAATTTTCAAATATATAATATTAGTAATTTTTCAAAAACAATTGTTAATAATTTCATTACTGTTATTATATTTAAATTAATCATAAGTACTAAAGTTTTTTTTAATTACATATATAGTTATACAAAACCTTTTGAAAAATAATTGGGTAATAATATATAGGCAATTTTTTTCTACTACTTTTCTATATAACTTCTATTTATCATTAAATGAGTAAATGCATATATTATCACATGTTTCAATAAAGTGAAAATATTTAATCATTAAATAATATGTAAAATTGTATGAAAAATATTATATAAAAAAGTTGTCTCTCAATTATTTTTAAATATAGTTACCAAAAAGTACTAGTAATATAGCTTTTGGTGAAAGCATAAAAAAAATATACCCTCTCCATTTAACTTTAGTTGATTTATTTTTTGGTCTTGAAAAATGAAAATGTAATAATTAATTGATAAAAGTTTGTATTTATCCAAAACTACTACTCTTTATATAAATGTGTGTTGAGGGTGCAGATGACGTGGGTTGATGAGTAAGCAGTAGAGGATGATTTGAAAGCTGACTAAGATGCCACCTATAGGAAATGAGAAGGGTCTTTTTGGCTGGCACCCGTTTCACGTATGAGAGGCTATGTGCCATGGGCCGTCTTGCCCTATCTAGCAAAGGTGTTCAGTAGTGATTTCTTTAGCAAAGTCCGAAAATGTGAGTTTCCTAACCAAGCCAAGAGAGTTAGGCAACGATGAGAGGATTTCAGGAGCTTGAGAGTGATTACACAACTACAAAGAATAGTGAAAAGAGGTGTATATTGTGGTAGGAGCAACAGGGATAGAGAGTATATAAAGATCAAATATTACAACTTGAAAAGCACATTTATACATAATATAGGATAGTGATTGATACACATTTTTTTCAACACACTGCACAACACATTCATTAAAAAATCAATATTTCTTGGTCTGAAATTAAAGGCAAATAAGTTTAAAGATACAATCATGTACACAGGATGTAGGAATCGATTAAATTAATTATATTTATATTATATTTTTAATGGTTGAACTAGAGGTATGTCAAAAAATGTGTTGAACTAGAAGTGTGTCAAAAAATGTGTTAAACCGAGTGTGTACCAATTATTTTCCAATAATATATTGTAGCATAATAATAAACACAATGAATGTGCCCCTTACTATTTTTGACAAATGGTCCTATTCTATAATAAGCAACCCTCATGTTGCAGGTGAAAAGCACAATGATCACCTTCAAGCTTTCTCAAGAACAAAATGAATAAACTTGAAAGTAGTGATGAGAAAAGGAAGGATGACCATTGTGGGGGCTTATGAATGGATGGCTTGATCTCGTTCTTGATGCTAACACTACAGCTTGATCCTTTGATACTCAAGAAAATAACCCAGAATCTAAAACTATAGTGTGTTGTCTCCCAGCCATGATGTTCTGCAAGTTTGGAAAGTATTCTATAGTGTTGGAAGTGAAAGAAATAGTAGGAAAATGAAGATTTATGGGGATTTTTGGTGTATAAGGGTGAGAGATTGAAGATGAAGAGTTTCTTAGAGGAAAAATGGAGTCTGTTGCATAAAGAGGAAGCTGGGTTCCCAAAAAATCTACTCAATTTGCTAAAAAATGGGGGAA